GACACGTTTCCAATCACTTTACACGTGGTGTCACATCAGTTCATCCGACACAAACTGCTATTAGACACAGATTTCCGGAGGAACTTTGACTTCGAGACAAAGAACGGGAACGTCTACATCAAAAGGACACAGGAGAGCGATGAAAAATCTAGCGGTTGTATCCCAAAGATGTTTCAAGTTGGCACTTGCGGAACGGACGGAGAAAATCGTGTATACAGAACGAAATAAGAAATAATTCCTACCCGTCGCAAATAGCTCATTTGCCAGATGTGAGTTACCTCAAGAATTGCAATTCACTTCGAGCCAAGAAGAGTTTTTAGAAGGAAACGCGAGGAATGCTGTAGTGGATGCTACAGGAGGACATTGTATGTCGATCGTGGAAAACGAGATATCTAATTACGAACTCTTCGAAGATGAACAATCAGTGAATCTCGTGCAACCTTTGGAAACAGCCATACTAGCGTTTCGGTAGTTATCTCTATCCTAATAATCTCAACGAGATAGAGGATCCACGAGTCGATAGAGAAGAGGAATCGTTATGATATTCGCGAGCAACTATGGTTCAACGTCGGATAACAGTCCACTCGATTTTGAAGCCAAGGAAGAAGCGGACGACGAAGGGTTGACTAGAGTATCCTTGCAAGCTCGAAGAACGTGCAGAGTCGTGTAAACAATGATGAGTCGTTGAATAAGAAGTTACCAAATGACGCTATCCAGAAGACAAAGCACGGACTTTAGGGTAACGAGCACTAACAGCGTTAGTAGCTTGTTCGAGAAAGAATATCAGGAACTGTCCATTCCTCAATCTCTACGCGGCAGAAGGATGGAGCGGAATGCTGGTTGTCGACTTGGAGCTTTTGTCGGAACGTTGTATTTGATTGCGATGAACGTATTTTGAGCTTGTTGAATTCAAGTTCAACGGGGCCAGCAAGTAATGTATATGTGGATGATGGCATCGTACCTGAAGCAGTCGCAGCATGGCTCAGCAAAGGAACATCTATCGGCACCTAGAGAAGGTATCGGTGCGATAATGGCAAAGTACAGGACATGTCTTTTGTTCATGGCCGTCTTATACTGAATCCCTTCGTTACCGACCATGTCAGCAGACATCCTTCGGCAGTGTACTTGGACGATATTTCTTGGACTCGAAAAATGACGTCGACGATATATTAAATTTGTCTGTGTATGACTAATAATACAGAGTATGATGAATGTGTCTGATCGCAGTGAAGTGATTGTGCGGATATCTAAGAATATCGATATCTTTGTTAAAATGGACGAGTATGGAAATGGTGAATGAATGGTAGAGTTTAGGTATTTATTATTTAGAATTCGATATTTGAAGTGTCGTGTATGAAACAGGAAACAGGCTAGAAGTCCTTTTACAGTCTTCTAACCCTAAGCCAAGTTCTAAATGTTATATAGTTTAGAATTCGGGACTCTCTATATTTATTTAGTTGTATATATTTGTCAGACTTCTTTATTACCTCGGGTCACCGATCACGAGGAGTTCTTCAGCACTTAGGATTTGGTTGACATATATATAAAAGAAAAAATAATTAGTGTTAACGTCCACAAGACGCTGTATCACATAAAGCAAATGGCTGTACTACAGATATTCACATTTCGGCTCGTATTGCATCACTTTGCAATATTTTCAAGGATCATTCTGGCCTGTTTCGCATTTTGTCGAACTGAATGGTACGGCAAGGGGTTAATATATGCATACTAAAAAGGCCTATCTATGACCCAAGAATTACATGTGAAAATCAATGTAATTTAATGTATTAAAGTAAGAACAAAATAAATGAATAAATGAAATATTGTTGGTATGTTATAAACTTATTATATATATATATATAGTGTTCCATTGTCGGTAGTACAATCAGGAAGTGGTTGACTACATGAAAAAACAAATCGAAATAAAGAATAGAATCTTTTCATTCGAAGCTTCGTTGGCGAGAAATTGACTTTGAATATTCACCGAATATGCGTGCACTTAGCTATGGCTTAGAAGTATATAAAGATATTACACATTGAATTTTTCTGTCACGCAAATCAGAAAAACTTCAGATCCTTTACCCTTTTAGAGTCACTTCCAGTAACACCGAAACGGTGTAGTATAAACGGTGTACAAATCAACAACAATTTTTTAAATAACATGATGTCCGAATATTGGTCCATTTGGTTAATATCGTTTTTAGCCATTATTTTCTTTTTTTAACATTAAAACTTTGTTATAAGCACTTAATATGTTAAAAACTATTGTTATGAGTAAGTAAATGGCCTTCTTATGTAAAAAAATAATAGTACATATGAAAATTAGTGTACATATTGTTATTGTAAATTATACGAAGCATATAATTGCAAAAATCTATGTAATAACTATTATAAAAGGCTCCCGAATCTTTGGAAAGTCGGTTAAGTTCGTGAATTTACGTTTGACTTGGGACAAGGGTACCCTCGGTTCATATAGGCACCGGAGGTTATAAGACACGTCAGTTGCTCATCGACCGTCACGGCGTAAACATTTAAACTTAAACCGCCTAAATTAACTTATTTAACTACTTTTTACTTTCAATTATTTATTTAATTTATTTATTTATCATTTACTTTTAATAACTTATTTAATTTAATTATTTATTTTTTACTTTTAATAATTTAATTAATTTTGATTAATACTTTTTAAAGAATTTATTTAATTAATTAATTTATTTCTTACATTTAATAATTGGTTTACTTAATTCACTTACTTTAATATTTAATTATTTATTTAATTATTTCATTCATATTTTAATTCTAATCTATTTAATACTAAAATAAATATTCTATGTTTTATTTTTTTAATTTCACTAGTGTTAGTGCACATTAAACATTGATTATTTAAATTAATAAATATAACTAAATCGTATACGTTCGAACGATTTTGCACGCGATTTTTTTCACTCGAGCCGGTCGAAATAAGTTCGTATCCGCGACGTCGCGAGTGTATTTCGGAAGTGTTGGAAGAAAAGAAGAAGCAATTACAAGCAATGATGACATTGCTACACCGACGACGTGGCAAGAGAAGGTCAAAGTGACGCTGATGCCAGAATAAAAACGACGATCAATTTAGAGCTGCTTTGTTACGAAGAAGATGACAACGATCGGTGAGTCGCATGTTTACAATTCCTCTGGTTACCCATCATGTCGTAAGACGAATGGTCTGAAACGACACGGATGACTGGTTGTATTTAATTACAATATTTAGCGAGCATAGTGACCACGTGTGCTAATGTACCAATGTACAATAGCATTCGTGCAATATATATTTCTGTGCTATACTTGTTGAATCAGGTTAGGGCTTTCTTGTACATCGCGTATTAAAATCGTGGTTAAAAAAATGTTTAATTTCTATTCTGAACGGGAATTTCGATATTTTAATTGTTCATTTCGTTCATTCCCATGTTTATTTCACGCGATTTTTAACGAATACAAATTCAAGAAAGCATTCCCCTCGGAATAGGTTCCAAAATCAAAGAAATAATTTGAATTTTCCCCTTTCATTCCTTTTTTTTTATTTTGTTTTTTAATTAATGCATATTTCTTTCGTGACATGAACTTTTGTCGAGTCATTTAAAAAGTAGAGTCACCCCAGCACCTTAGCTATAATAAATAAACTAATCCCGATTATTAGTTAGGATTTTCAGCATGGGGACAACAGCACTCATTTATACTATTTCTAATATTATTTTTGTCACTATGCTCGCTACTTTCTTTATATTTATTTTTGTATATTTGTACAGTATTACTGTACATACTGTGCGTACTGTGCGTACTGTGCGTACTGTGCATACTGTGCACATTCTTATCGCGGGTTAGTCGAACTCCCTTGAAATTCGATATATCGTGATCGGGAATTAAAAGTATATCCCATTTTCACATAAAAATAAAAAAAACCAAAGTCACGAAACATATAATGCCCTAAATAACTGCTCGCGTGCTTCTTTCCACTATTGTCGCGACTCTTAAAGCACCACAAGTGAAAGCGCGCGTATTTAAAAAATGATTTATTATTTAATATCACAATAATCCAATGCAACTACCAATTCTTCCTCTCAACTTTTATTTCTATGTCATTATTAATTGCTCTTCCTTTGTTGCAGATGTGAGGCATATCATATTTTGTAATTTGCATTGCAATTTATTTTGTGATTTATTTTGTAGTAAATCTTGTATTCCGTTCTACATTGAATTTTGTAATCATTTTTGATAATCATTTTGAAATTCATTTTGCGATTTATTTTGTATCGTATATTCTACTATGTTTTGTACTGTGTTTTGTACTATATTTTAGTGGAGTATTTAGACATGGGTCTCGATTGCGTAGCCACCTCCACGTGGTGAGACCTGGTAATTGGCACGTTTGTCAAAGATATACTTCCACATTTTTCTGAATAAATTTCATCGCGTAAATTTCGGAATATTCGATCTTTGGCAAACGGTGCCAAGCTAAGAGCTACGTAGTTCTCGCAGTCCAGTCTAGCCTCCATCAAGCTACCTTCAGCCACCTTCGCAATTATTAATTAAGATTCGATATTCGAAGTATTCCTGTGTGGAACAAGGAGTAGGTGTAAGAAATCTAAATCTACGATCTCCTAATGGCCAAGTCCTAAATGCTGAATAGTTCGGTACTTTCTACGTTATAATACGCTGGTACCTTCTACGCTATATATTTATCAAACTTCTTTATTGACTCGATTCACCGGACACGAGTTCTTCAGCACTTAGGATTTGACTAATAATGCTGGACAAAAGTATTGGCACACTTGAATAAAAACGTTTAAAAATGACTTGAAATTAAATATTAATATTTAGTTAGCTCTCCTTTCCTTTTAAGGACTTCCTTTAATCATTTGGGCATTGAATCAACTAACTTTTTTGTAAAATCCCGCTCGATTTTATTCCATTCTTGTAAAAGAACATTTTTCAAGTCCACTTTGCTATACAATGCTTTCGAATCCTTTTTTTCCAGGCATGTTCGATAGGATTCATATCTGGACTCTGGAGTGATGTATTTAGGGAATGAGAAGTATTAAAAATGATCCAATGGCGTACAATATATATAAAAGAAAAAAGAATTAATATTGAAGCATGTGTATATAATACCCTGCATATACAGGGTGACTCAACCTGTAGTAACCTGAAATAAGTTATTCTCGTAATTGACCAAAAAGGTCCGTTGCGCCAGCACCTAGGATCCTTGCTACATCACTGCAGGACCCATGACACACTTCAATTGACCAAAATATAACGGTGCCCGCTCCAATGACCTACTTTGTGGCTCACACGCACTCTCTCTTTCCTATTCCTTCCGCCATTCCTTGAGTGCCGACTGTTGTTCCTCTTTCTCTCTCTGTTACCCCCACTATCACTCGATAGCTTTTCGGTCAAGCGATCGTCGAACGCATGCGCGCACGCAGGGAACGCATTCCCGCTGGCCGCTGTATTATCGGGCGAACTCCAGGCAGCGCAAGTGAAATCGACTGATTATACGATTAGTAATGAAAGCGTCCTTCTCACGCGTAGAGGTATCGTCATGTAGTCGCGAATTGTCACCTATCTTCTGTCGTTTTTACGCCGATAAGCAGTCTGTCAGTGAAAACGATATCGCCTTTGGACTAGTTACGTGATCTTTGATCCATACTTGGACCGGGACGCACAGAGTCGGTCCAAAGCTCCGAATTTCAGTCAAACACGAGTTATAAATGTGATTGTGCATCTAGTCCTCCAGGTAAATGCTAGTTGCTTCGTTTAGGATGATGAAGTTCAGCGAGTGATTTCCTTTCTTCTCGGATGATATAAAAGTGTTTTGTAAGATGCATTGTTCGTAGGCGTAAGGTGCGTGTAATGTAGTCGATAATGTTAATTGTTTGTCGGATTGTTCTCAAAGATAGCGTATGGAGATCACTAGGAAAAGATATTATAGGGATATTTTGATTAATTTTTCTTTTCGATGTACTTTGATGTCACTTGTAGCCGAATGTATTGATATATTTAGGAGGGGAAATTGGCTGTTAGGTGTAAAGGTGTGGGTGTTTTAAGAAAGGTAATAACAGACCTTAACATGTTGGCTGAAATAGATGATAAATATATTAACGAAATATAAATATATTAATATGAACGGAATTGTCGAAACTGTTTTCAATTCGATTAGGTAAAGAAAATATTTGTCGGTAACGTGTATACGGAATTTTACCGCCATGCAGCCATTGTTCGTTCCTCTAGTCTCAGCAGTGTCGCAGCTACGCGTAATTCCAATACCAGATGAAAAGGAAATAACAGTAACAGACTTCGAAAAAAGAAAAATATAATATTCTTCTAAAATTTGGGTAAATTGACAGCACATCTTTCGGTCTAATATAAAAAACTCTCTAAATTTTGTACATCGTGTATACCACTACATTATCGCTTTCTTTACTCGGCGCCAAGATCATTTTTTTCTATAAAATCTTACACTCAGGGGTCGTTATGCTATATTATGAATGCGCAAGGAGGACGTTGAATACACCTCGTAACGCCATAGACGAAGACAGCAAGCGGTTAGATAAAGATAGAGTAAATTGGATTATAATTGGAATTATAATAAATTATAAAATTGTAAATTGTAAGAGAAAAATATAATAAATGATATTATTTAACCTTTTTGTTATATCTGTAACTTAATGTATATTATATTGAAAATCCAAATAATATATAAGCAGAATAATCATATATAAAGGATGCTGTATTTTGAACTAAATTTTTTGTATTACATATTTTTAAGTCATATTTAAAATGTATAATGCATTTTTAATATTAGGTTTATTACTTTGTAGTATTTCTTAGTTTTCACTTTCATTAGTTATTTGTTAATTTAGAAAAACTAAGTTATTTAAAAGAAAATTTCAATTGTTGGATAGCATTGTTTATTGATAGAAAGTACTTTACGTATAAATATAATATTAAATGTATTGATGATTTTACGAAGATTATTACCAAAAATTAATAAACGGTTTAATTTATTTGCAATCTTCGATTGTCTTTAATCTTTTGTCTGATTAAACGAATACACAATGTATAATACTATCAAAAAGTTTTATTATTATATATTTATTATTTTATTAATGCAACATGTATTCTCAATCGTTATTAATAGATATTTTATTATCATATTTATTTTATATTACTATAATATAATTATTGTCACATCTCATTTTTCACATACGTAATTACTTTAATACTAATTAGTATATTTTATTCTCTTCTTATCTATTCTTTACATTTCATCCTCCTGAATAAAAACGTAATGTTGGTAGGCTAATCTCAAAATTAAAATTCCTTGAAATTTTTCATAATTATTAAATTATTTCATTAATGGGATTATTAAACTAATAGGATTAGAAAATAAGTCCAATAATAATTCATTTAGTTTTTATGTGTCTTAAAAAATACACTATATGTAACAACAGTAGAAAGCTAATCGACAATATGTGTAAAGACATATTCTGGAAGTTTCACTAGTCAAATGTATCATTGCTATTGTAGGTACAATAAAGTCGGTCGATTTCTCTATTAAGTAACGAATCGTGTTGCGTCGAACGATTGTTATTACATTGGTGGGAAATAAATGCCTGATTGAAGCATATACAAAGTTTATTGTTATAGCATATAATCGTGAATTACTTTTACTTTTGTGCTAAAGCTTCTTATTTTAATAGGAAGATTCTGAGAATAATATGGCACTGTTATGTCTACGTACTTTCAAAATGATGATTGTTCGAATTAGTAGAACAATTAGTGGAAAAATGTAAGTACTATTTTGAAGAAATTAAAATAAAAAAGAATAAATTATCCTATTCCTTTTGATAGAAATTTTGTTTTCATTCGAGAATAATGAATAGCATTTATTCTCTTATTTACTTATCCATTTATTTCCCGTTAATCCTATGCGAGAATGAGCTTAATTAATAAATGAGTTATCTTATAAAAATAGAACGATCTACAAAATTTTCTTTAATCTTGATACTTCTAATACTTGCAATCATTTCTTATATACCATGTTTATATTTCAGTGACGGTAATTACGCACAAAGCAGTCTTAGCGTATGTGCATTGAAAGAAATTGTGCACGGCCTCAAGAGTAGCGCTACATGATGACTACTTGGAATAAGAGTAAGAAAGAGCTTATACGTGATTTGTCGTGCTTCCAGTAACAATTGCTTTTAAAACATCAACTTTTCGCCATTACCAGGTCTTTACGGTCATTCTTTATTACATACCTTTTTCTCTAAAGCACATTGAAATAATTCTATTTTAATTGACAATTTTCATTAAATTAACATCAAGTAGTCTATTGATATAAAGTTAGAAGATGTGTTATTTCTCGTAACAGATAAATACGTAAATTTAGAATGCATCTTTTAAAATACCGAAATAATCATTTACAAATTAAATTCGTGATCTAATTGTAAGTTACTTGCAAATAAATAGTCTAGCAAAGGAAGCAAGTTCAAAGTGATAAAATTTAATCATTTAAATTAAACACAAACATTACGTTTCGACAAAACGTAATTTTTATTTCGAAGAAAAAAGAAAAGAAAAATTAAATATAGTAAATCTTATAATCTATTTCACAAAAATGGGATTCTTCATCTACTTTAAAAATGCTCCCCACGCTTTCTCTAAAATTTTATTCTTCAATAGTTATAATCTACTCAGTAACTTTCTTCTCCATGATTCTTTATGACCGACGAGATTGCGAAAGTATCAGAACCGTAAGTTGCAACAAGATAATCTCTCTCAAACTTAGACTAACTACAACATTAACGATGAAATTAAAAAACAAAAAATAGAGCGCATAGGTGAAAGGCTTAAATCGTTGCATGTTTTCTACGTTATTCTCTCTTTTTCCATTTCCTTTTTTATCGAGGAAAGGCTTCGTTTGCAATGTTTCAAATCATCACATCTAAAACAACTACGAGGTTAAAGAAAAGAAGAAAAGCGTAACTGGATAGAAAAAGAGAACCACAGCTGGTGTTTTCGATTTACCCCAGCTCCAATTCGTCCGAATCTGCCGAAAGATCGCTCTCGTAGCCAGCCGCGATGATTCGCACAGATTCGTCGGTTTTCGACCGAGGATTTCGTGTTTTCTCGTACTGATTGCTATTTCCGTTTCGCAGACGTCCACCGTTGTTCTCGATGAAACGGCTCGTCTCGTCCTTCGTCGGTGTCACCAGATCGATCTCCTCAATCTGTCTGTGTATTTTCTGAAAGAAATCGATAAGGCCACTGTTAATGATCCCGATGTATTCATTGATTTATCGGTTAGTTGGAGATGAGCATGTTTTTCGAGCTACATGCCGGAAAAGAAGGGAGAAAATCAACATTTGCACACTTTCTACGACTGATCCTGTTTATCGTTCGATGTCACAGACTTTGTTGGAATTCTATATCCTTTTCTTCCTTTCTTACTCTTGTTCTGGATTACTTACAGAATTCTAAAACCTAAAATTTTTGAACCTGGCCAATAGTAAAAGTTCATTTACATTTCCAATAGTAAGGTATGTGATTACTCATCCACCGTGTAAAAAATTTTACTTATAGAGAATTAAGTTTCGATACATTTACCTGCGGTGTGACAAGATCGATTTCTTCGATTTCTTCGATTTGCAAGCCTGAAGGTGTGTCGCTGGATGTTTCGAGATCTATGGCCGATTCATCTGGGTTTGGAGAATCGGTCGAGCCCAATGTACGCGAAGAGTTTGCCGATGTTTTAGGGGTCATAGGTCGTTTCACCAATGGGGAAGTAGACGCTGGACTTGAAATAGTCGGGAATTCGTGACTTTGCGTTGATAGCGACAGCGTTGAAGAGGCTGCCGATAACAGAGGCTCCTCCAGCTCAGCGAAGCCTTCGTTTATCATCTCTTGGCCGATATTTATGTCCTATGCATATTTTATATACGATATATATTGGTGCATCAGTATTAATGGAAAAATAAAGTTCATAAGAATAGATGGTTTAGCCCCAAGGTTTATATACCTTGTCTTCGTTCTTATTGAAAAGATCAACGCAAGGAATCGGTGAACCCTCGCGTCGAGATCTACCGTAACTGAGGGTCCGCTCCTTGTAACCCTTAACTTTGGCAATCACCACTTTCCATTGAGCCAACCAAGTGAGTTCAGCAAACAAGTCGCAAGCCTCCGTACTCCATTCATTCTCCCTGTAACACACGAACAACATAAAAATATTTGAAAAATTATCACACGAGTACTGGACTTCATTGTTTCACGTTACAGAATCATTACTGATTATTACTATTATTTCAAAGTAAGACTTCTTACTATCACGGAATTTAATAATTATATTTATTAAAGAATTCTGCATAAAATAATAACAAAAATAAAAATATAACAAAGTATAAATATAAACAGTGAAATTTTGAAATGTCACTGTGTGGCAAAAACATGAGAATTAGTAGTAACATGTCGTAATACTACGATATCGTATATTACATTTCTTCTTTTTATATCATATTTGGCACGAATCACGAGTTATGCTATTATTTAACTACACTACAGCCAGAATTTTGTTTGTTTACCTCCAAAAGAAAATTATAATTGATTTCTTATTCTAATTTAAAATCTGTGAAAATGAATTATTCCCTTCCAGGAAAATGGCACCTCGGCAAAGATGGGACATCTACGGGCAGATAAAGTAAGATTGCAACAAATAAGAATATGTGTAATTTCTAAACCAGACTACGCTTTCAATGAAGTATTTTCACTGGTTAATTTTCCAACTAAACATTGGCAATTGCAGATACTCAAATTGCGAAGTTACGCGAAACGTAGCGTAACAAATAGCAATTTGGCAACGTAAGGAGTGGTCGTATATCTAGAAACGTGATTTCGTTCCTAAACGTTTAGAATTCTTATGCCTGGGAGTAATTCGTCGAATATGTTGTTTAGGACTAAATCTTCGATTTTACTACAAAATATTATTACACAAAGTTCTACGAAAGTATTGTGTTCGACCACTGACCATTTCATAGAATTTGCATTTTCGTCGAAAGGGGGTTCGGTAATTTTCTTCGTGGTAATTTTGTGCACGTTAGTAACATAAGTCGAAGCAGCTAGAATGAACCCAAACAACGTGTAAATATTTATTCTAGAATGCACATTTCTGATAATGTCCAAATTTTCCTATCTACTACGTACATGTACTTAGGTGCTGTACCAATAATAGGACTCTGAATCGAATTTCATAAATGTATCGGGTCTTTTATTCTTCTTCATATTGTTAGTCGTACTTTTAAAGAAATATAACACATAATGATATTAAAAATTCGTGTAAAGAGTGTGATATTGTAGGGTGGGATGGACTTTAGCAAAGGAAATAGTATTAACCCTTTGCACTCGAGAAGTGACCCTCAGTCACCATTTCATAAAATTTGGAAGATCAATATTAATTAATATATCAAATTTGATGTAATGTAACAGTGTGCAAGATATCGAAATCAAATAATTCTACAATTCTATTATTATACAATTCTTTATTTACTGCTCAAAAAAGTATCGTCAGTTTTTTAATAGAGAATCTTTGATTTTCTACTCTTCTTTAGCCAAAAAATCGTCGAGTGCAAAGGGTTAAGAGCGATATCGGGTCCGGCTTATGCATTTAGGATATCATCTGGAGTGCATGCGACCGAACGGATGACCACGTGCAAGAATTGTATGGATGAGATATTTAGGACCAAGTCGAGTGCAAGCAATGAATGAAAGTCTAGGAATGCGTCAGAGTGTCTGAAGTACCTGGCCCTAAAAACACCTATTTTACCTAAAAATAATCAATCCATTTCAATATACCAACACGTATATCGTATACTCAACTACGTGCAGTCTCCAAGCAAATATTCGCGTCACAATTTGCTTTCTTCCAACATCAAAGGGCATTTTAGAATCAAAAGATCACAGTAAAGGTTCAATTACCTCAAGCTGTATTAGTACGTTTACTCTTGATCCGTTTCTTCCCAATTACCCAGAACTTTCAAGCAACTACGATTCTTTGTAAAATTGCCATTAACCCCGTTTCGCGAACGGAGTTCAGACTTCGAGGGTTGATAAGGATCATCGTGAGAAACAAAAAACATGTGCACGAAACACCCCCATTTAGCGAGACTTAAGCACTTTCGGGACGCCTTGTTCCATTTATAAACGGCACAGCACAAGTGTATACGTGCGAGAAGATGAAGTGGACGATGAACGTAGACCTCTGCTAATGGTCAGAGGGTCTCAGTCGTTTCACGATCTTCGTGCTGAACAATATCCTCAACCAAAGCCAAAAAGAAAGCGTGCTACCAATCATCTCTATTCCTCTCAGCCGAATCTGCTACCAGTGATCGTTTCAAAATTCCGAAGCTTTCAAATCTCGTCGAATTTCATTCGCGAAACATCTAAAAAGATATATGAATACCTTCGTCTAAACAAATATTACGACCAAAAATAAGAAGAAGAAAAGTTTGACAGAAAATAGGGAAAATTTGAGGAACGGATATCGGTGGTAGTTCTAACTATTAATTAAATCTTGACCGATTTTTACCATTCTTTTCATCGATCTTCTGAAATAAATTTATGCGACGAGAAAAGTGAAGGTGGATTAAACGTTGAGTGCAAAAGAGTGCAGAAGTGAACTCGCGGTTTCTCGTTGGCTGGAACTTTTGCTGGCTCGATGCATTAATGAACGTCATAATAGACACGTGTGTAATATTTACGTAAGTACGAATTTATTTCGCCACACAGTTAGTTTGCCTGTGCAAGACTCTTTTCAAGCGTGTGTCACAGTGATGTAGTTTTGAATGTCAATGAGAAAATGCTACTCCCTCGACTTCCTGACAGTTGTCAAAGGAAGCTTCGCGTTTCTTATGCGATGAATCTTAAACTGAATTTTATCAAGCTGATCTTATCGAGCAAATATTAAATAAACATTAACGTAAATATTTACATATATAGCTATTAGAAAAATCGAAACGTATTTGAAAGTACCTTTGCTTATTAATAGAATTACTGTCATGTAAAATAGAGTATTCGTTCATTAGAAAATACTTTTATTTTCTAGGTAATAAGATACGAGAAATGGTATTTTATTTCATGATTAAAAAAATAAAATATGTTTAATTTATATGCACGTTTGAATGCAATTTCGAATGGCAACCGCGACTGATCAACAAATTCAAGGATGGAGGATGAGAGTGAAGATCCTAAATATGAAATTTTACTTTCGAGAATTTAATAGTATTTTTAATATTTTTAATATTTTTAGTAAAATATTAATAAAAGAATTTTCGGTACTATGCATAGAATTCCATACAGCATTACTGACACACCACTTTTTAAACTGCATTGAGATTTAATTATATCCGTCAATTAAACTTATATAAGTTAAATTAATATTTCGGCAATTTATATTTCCTGTTTATGATACTAAGATTTTCTATTGATACTTCTTTCGGAAACTATTAAATTTCAGAAGCTTTAATTTTATATTTGAGGTGCAAGACAAGTTCTCTTCCAAATTTTAGCGTGTTCAATTAATCTTCAGCATATGTATGTTTTCGTGTGAACACAAATGGTGAGATTATAACTTTGTTGCTAAAAAAAGAAACTAAAATGAATAATTATTACGAAAAATAAAATTCAGCATGAATTCTTGTCCAGCTGTTTGTAACGAACATGAAGCAAGGCAGAGAATTAAGCTTCTTAAACGACCCCCATGTTTGTAACGCAAATAGTCTTCGAGGTCGTCGTTGTCTTCAATTAAGGATCGTTTAACGCGATTATCCCTATTTATTAATTATCTTAAATTACCAGGTGGTTCAGTTATGTCTCTCATTGCCGCGAAGAATTTTTCTGAATTTCCGGACGCACTAGAGACACAATGAAACACGCAAGTCTCGAATCGGTAATTTCGACTATTCGCCCGATTAAATTAACTCAACGCAACCTCCAACCATTTTGATTCATAAAAATAATACTCGATTCCTATATTTAGTTCACTCTAGATGTTTCTTTGTTCATCTATACTTTCAAAACGGTCGTTCTGGTATTCTACCCGATATAACTTTCTTTTCTTCCTTTCTTCCATTAATTACGTTACCAATTGTAAAACAATAATTGGCAATTCCAGCGTTAAAACTATTCCAAAGAAAAATTCCTGATAATCTCTCCGCGGGAAACGAATAACGTACAATAGCATAGAAGACATCAGAAATGAGAAAATAATCGGTGCAGCATGGTCTCCATTTTAAAGCGAAGATTAAATTCACAACTGGAGGAATCAAATTTACCCTCCCGTTTAACCGTGTGAGAGACAAAAGAAGATGAAAGATGAGAAACAAATTAAAGGAAAAGATGTGAGAAGAGAAAAATAATGACTCTCTTTACAAACAATAATGATTGCAATGAATGCTTCTGCATCGAGGAGAATAGGAGCTGATGGGAGCACGGTGAAGCGAGTAGAACGAAAATAGAAAACGTTTCGGAGTGGTCTGCCATTTTTTGGCGAGACACTCGGATTTGCCTTCGAAAGTCAACATGTCGCCTATAACCGAAGATCGTCGACACCGTGGTAATTCCAATTGGAAAACTATTTTGTGTGTATTACTCAGAGGTTGCACTGGTGATTAGCTGCTCCTCGGCACGCGATACGAATCCTGGTGTTTTGCCAAATTGATTAAATTCGCATTCGATTGACACCCCGCAGCGAAATCTATTCTCATCCTGATCATCCGGAGTATTGCGGGGATGCCTCGATTTTTGTCTCATTAGTAGATCCTATCGGACATGAACGTTGGAGAAAACTCATGAAGAACGCGTTGAACACGTTATCAACCCTTTATACGCGAGTGGCAGCCTCTAGTCGCCGTTTAATAAAATTTTAAAGATCGATATTAATTAATACGCTAAATTTGAAATAACGTAACAATGCGTGAAATATCGAAATAAAATAATTCTACGTGACAATTTACACGCAATTCCTTCTTTATCGTTTTAAAAAATATCGTCGACTTTGCAGCAGAAAATTTTGTAATTTTCCCTACGGAAAATGTCGACAAGTGCGAAGGTTAACCCCTTGTACTATGATTCAATGATGAAAAGTTATGCATTGAAAAATCGCTTCATTTTTTAATTAAGCACTATGCATCCATCTTTTTCGCAGTAGAATTATAAGAGATTTCAGGATTTATAAAAATCCTGATGCAAGGGTAATGGATCTTTATGGGGTTTAGTATGGAAAACTTACAACGAAGTATACTCGTCGTTATACTATAACGGATGAACCCTTTGTGCAATATAGTAAGAACGAATTTAGAATTTTTATCTCATTTGGGATTTTCATACTGAAAACTACGATTATATTCAATATTGGAGTTACCACTAAGGTGGTCACAATGATCTCTCTGAGAGTTTCTATTTTTGGAATTTTTTGAATATATATATATATATAATTTAATAACAATTTATGAAACCAATTTATACAACGAAACTGTATTGTAGATGAATTTGTTTCTAAATCTGAATCTTCGATGATAATTTTACCCTTTCCCTAGATCAGCACTTACCAACGAATGAAATTACCTTTCCAAACCCATAATCTCTGTTCCATAAACGATAATCCCATTTCTTTATTATTTGATGAACCCTAATTCGCCAAAATGTGGTTTCCATTGTAACTCTGTTCAAACTACCACTCGCGGAAATTTGCATCGAATTTCTTTCCATCGAATGTTCTTTAATACGATCCGTTTGTTTGTCTGCCTTCGATCGTTTGCCAAGCTTGCGTCTATTCGAAATAAAACGTGGATTTCGTTGACACGTCTAAACAAAAGCGTAAACCTGTCGCCTAACCGGTAAGGAACTATCGTTAAATTAGGGGTAAATTAAGATCGAAAACTGGCAACCCGCCAACAAACGTATGCACACGCCTGTCTAACGTTCAACTTGCGATTTATACTGCAAAGTTTGCCGGATCCAATAATCAACAAAGCCTTCCGCGTGCTTTCACATGACACTTTATCGTGATCATGCGCCGCAATTATTCCACGGGAATTATTTTTACCTCGTGGACAGATAGACAGGACACATAGACTAATGCATGCGAAAAGAATCAAAAGATGGAGGCAGAAGAAAGATTGTCGAGGCGAGAAAAAGTGTCGAGATACGCGCGATGAAGAAGAAATATGGTACAAAATAGAGGGAGGAAGAGCATTAAAAAATGTAATATATTAAAAAGAGAAATTAAAGATTAATAAAAGTTAGTTGTTCTTGAAAAATTTTCGATATTCGAATTAATAAGGGGACCGTTTGAATAAGTGAACTTTTAGATAGTAAAATTATGATCTTATCTTGTATTTAATATTATATGTATACGTAAAAATTGGCTGTACTTGAAAACACAATGGATCCTCTAATATTCGAATAAATAAGTGAATTTTTAGATAGAGAAAAATAAATGTTGTCTTCAATTTAGTACCATACGCAATAATTGAAATAAACAGAAAAAAATATACAAAAATGATAGAATGTTTACAGAAAATTCGAGTACTAGAACGTTCAGATATTAAAATAATTAGCAAGTAATTAATTATGTTCAGATAATGGTTCCATTGTTACATACTTCTGGTTCACGTGTAGCTGAAAAATTGGAATAAAATTTTTTATTGGTGCAAATTGATGATTATTCGAGATGATAATTTTAATTCTTAAAAAGTCTTTCTAAATGTTAATAAAATAAATAAACGAACTACAAAACGCAGAATTCATATCTTATTATCTAGTTATTCAATTAATAGGTCGCTAGACAGAATATTCCGATATTATTATGGAATATTCGTTAAATATCAATGATTAATTGCTCCTCGATTACCCTAGGCCTTTTCGTTTACGTAGAACCGCCATAAATGGAACTACTGGTACCAGCAGTCTCAGATGTCGTGTTCAAGTACACATGGCCCATTCCGAATTACAAGAAGACTGTTCTAAAGAAACGTCTCATCGATAGTCCTTCGTTCGACGTGAACGTGAACGGTATTCATAGCACGTGGAATTTGTCCATCAGATTTTGGAAAGATCCTGATGGTAAGAAGAACGATAACCTTAATCATTAAACCGCTGTTTCGATCGCTATTCTGTAAATCATCCTAACCTCGACAAAAATAACGTTTCGAACATCGAACTCGAATAATTTAACTTGACAAACGGGAGGATTCAGTTGAAGAACTTTTGTAATATGACTTGAGAAGGTTCGCACATTTTCAAGATCCCATTTTGATAAATCTATTCGTGAAAGTTTCAAAGCTCAAATTCCTTTACAGATAAAGAAATTATTTCTAACTGCGATGCGCTATCTCAGAATCCAGTACATTTTTCATTCATTTCTCTTCTTCTCTTCTCTTCACTTTTTTCTTTCCTTTTTGTTTTCATTCGAGACCATCTTCATTATTGACTTTATTAAAGGAAAGAATGGTCCACTGTTTGGTAACAGGCAAAAGAATGATAAACCCAGTGGTACTGTGCCTGAACATGTTGAACTGCACCATAGATGAAGCGGAACAAGCGAAGATACGATTTCAATTTGCAGTTTTCAATGCTGAAGATAAATACTGGGAGTACTATCACGTTAGCAGGACAATACTTGAGCTGAAATCGTACACGGACATCATTTCTTTAGGCTACAGAGACTTATCCATTATTGACAGGCATTTGAAGAAAAATGGCGAGGTGATGTTAATGGTTAAGATACAGATAATCCAATATGAAAGTGAGAAGCATAATTTGTCACAGGCAAGTACTTTTGGTACAAAGTATACTTAGAACTAGTTTATACTAGCACAGCATCGCTTAAAAACCTTATAAGTTTCATTTACCAACTCATGTTCTAATTTTTAAGAAAAGAAAAAGAAGTTTGAATATTTTATTTTTCTGCAACACTGCCAAATGGAAGTGAAACAAATAAATTCTTTTCATAAAATAAGTGTTGTATATGAGAAAAGGTACATATGTATGGTGTCTAATATACATGTAATTTAAATTTAAATAATGCATCATTTAAATATTTAGATACCTCTATAGTCATTGATTGAATAAATCCTTTTCAAAATTCAATAACAAAAATTCATTGAAAAATGATAGGAAAAAAGATGATAAGTGAAAATTAAGTAATAAATTAACATGTTTCAGGATATGATTAGATTATTGAAGCATTCATATGGCGCAGACACTAAATTAACCTGTGGAGGTTTGAGCAACGCTGAATTTCCAGTACACAGCAGTGTGTTAGCTGCTCGTAGCAATATTTTAGCTGGAATGATCGTACCTTTGAAAGAATTCAATGAAAGGGAAATCTTGAAAGTGAATACCGCTGAAAATACGATATCAAATACGCGGAATCTAGCAGAAGAACACATAATCGATAAAGAAAATGGTTGTTTTAATGTACGTGTCAGGAGTTATTCTGTGCCAATGTTGCAAAATACTCGAATTAATTTGTTTTAGATAATATAATATAACAAACTGATAGCTTGAAAGTATTCTTTACAATATTGATATTAATATAGAATGAAAGAATAAAAGCATTATCTTTAACACATTAACATTCACTTCATTGCAAGATGTTTGACTTCCAAACTGATATCTCTATACATATTCACTTCTTTAATATTATTATGATTTTCTAGAATTGTAGTGTATTCATCGTAGTTAACAATTGTTCTCATTTCTCTTTTTTTAACAAACATCATAATGTATTACGTTTTCTGTAAAGTAATAATTTTTGTGGCATAATTGACTATTTATATTGAATAATTTCTAATCAAATTTGCTACTTTCACAGGTAAGTATTCGAGATTGTTTATCGTTATATTTATTCGATACTTATATTTTTTAATAATATTTTGTACAAAAATATTTTAGAAACGTTACATGTTTTCTCTGGAATTATTGGATCTAAGTAAAGAAGTGACAGAAGAATTGTTACGATACATATACAGTGATCATGTTGATAATTTAGACAATTTTGCTCCACAACTTTTATCTTTAGCTGAACGCTTTTCTTTGCAAGGTATTATATATTACGCTATTAAAGAATTTATTTGGTAGAAATTTAACGTCGATTAAAAAAATTGTTGTTAATTATTTTTTAGGATTAAAGGAGCTTTGCGAAAGAAATCTCATCGAAACGATAACTCCAGAAAACATAGCAAGTAGACTTTTAGTTGCTGACGAATTTGGCTGTGATACACTAAAAAGGGCAAGTATAGCATACTGTGAAGAAAACATAATGATACTAAATAAAAGTTTGGCATGGAAAATGATGGAACAAGTAAACCCAGAATTATTCAATGAAGTTTGTGAAGCTGGTATTAACAGTTCAAGATCAAGTAACATGGACGATAGTGAATTAAGCAACTGACATTTTCTTTCCTTATGCTTATACAATTTAAGCATTAATCATAAATTTTTATAAATCTTGGTTAGTAACTTCATATTTTTCAAAAAATGAAATCAACGTAATATATGACATAGAAAGTTTCATTACTTATAAAATCTCATTGAAAATGTATGAGTCCAACAAATTTTATAAAAAAAATGTTTTCTAGACTTTAATATATCTCGTCATCGTTATACTTAATTAAATTAATTTTACTGGAAATTAACTTACCGTGGTTTAATATTGGCTAACGAACATTCGACTGCTTGCAACCTTAAGCTGAGAAAGTCGGTTCGAAGCTCTAATACATAATCAACTTGAACCATTTCATGGTCTCCATAATCTACAAAATAGACTTCACATTGACCATCTTCAGGAGTAGAAATAACTTCAGCTCTGTACCACTGTTCATCACAACTGAATTTTGCTGCTACTATTTGTCCAAGTGTTATCTGAAATAATATATTTAATATATTTATTTCTAGCAAGTGCATGTTAAAATACTTAATTATGTATTTACATTTTTCAATATATGTAATTCATGATTTTGTTCATCATTATAGTAAGCAGTCATTTCAGATACTAATTTATCTAATGCTGTAGTACTAGGACCAACAACTTGAACCCAAAATTGGCTAGGACTTTCCATTGCAGATACATATACTTCCATCAAGCCATCAGAAACTAGCAATAAAAACATACAATATATATATATATATATATATAAAATATCCATATATAATAACTATTAAGGAGACTGCAAGGTTGTTCGTGACAACTAGTATTCCTACGCGGATAGGACCTTATTTCCAATTCACTTAAACTCCATTGTGTATCTTTAGATGTGAAAAATTTATACAAAATAAAAAATAATTCAAGGAAAAAGATTATTTTCCATCTTCCCCGGAGTTGAACCCAAACCCTACAGTGTAGGAATACTAGGTCTGTTGCTGTTACATCAAACTATTACATGATAACCTATCTAAACAGAATTTCATTAAACTTATGATAAGTCTTCATTTGCAAATATCTTAAAAATTATTGGATAATGGCATGTACAATCATGTACCTTCACCAACAGAGGAACTAAATCTACCATCCTACAAAATTTGAACCAAATCAGTGACTCAAAGGCCTTACAGTTTCCTTATAAGAACATTATTTATGTAATGTACCTTGTAATGACAAAGATTCAGTAGTTTGAACCTGTTCAGATGTACTAATTTTAGTGTTTCGGGGAGATAATTTTCCTCTTGGCAGTCTTGAAGCAGAAGAAGCCTCTAACTTTCCACGTGCTTCTTTTACTTCACGAATTTTGTCTTTAATTTGGGACAAAGCTGCAGCAATTTGTTCACCTGTTCCTTTTATAGTAACCATTCTCTCCGCACCTGAAAGATACTAATAGTTATTAAAATTTAAAAATGTTAACACCAAACACCAACTATAGTAATGTAAATTTATATGAAGTAAACATACTTGCATCATGAGGATCATAGTTTCTATCAATGATAATTTTTGCACTCGATATTGTTTGAATTCGTTGTATAACTTCACCACCCCTTCCTATTATTCCGCCACATGTACTTTGAGGTATATACATTACATATGTTTCAATTATAGGCTGATTTTGCACTATAGACTTTATCATTTCTTCAGCTAAATGTACATTTTCATAGTTTCCTTTTATTATACAAATACGATCAGGACAATCAATATTATCTTCTTTAAAATGTATCTGCGTTCCTGTTTTATTTTGTATATCTTTTACTACTGAACCACTTCTTCCAATAACAGCAGGAACAAATTGCCTGGGTATCTTACATTCCACTGTAAATTGTTTTGAAACTTCAACTTTGTTTTTTCTAGACTTAATATCTTCTTCATCCTATGTAATTAAAGAAACAATCAAAATAAAATATTAAATGATATATAAATTTATATATTTCTCAATCTTACCTTTTTGTACAGTACATATAATGCAGCAATACTAATACTTGTTAAAGACAAACCCAATAAAATTGGTAGTGTAAAGTGTCGTGTCATCCACCGCATTTTATATCTAAGTATTCAAACACACTATTTATTTTGTACTTTTCCTTTCATATAAATAAATATAAATTTAAATGTGGAGCATGCTTTAGGATAGTTACGAATAAAATGTTTCATAACCTCGAAGATTCTTGTGGAAAACATTCATGGCGCGAATTACAAAATATACCACAAACCATAGATACAAATTTAAACGCACTTTTAAAGTACTGTTGAATAAATTTCGTTTGATGTATTTCATTTGGCTATAAATAATAATTTAAGCTCATTTTAAGCTCAAATTAGAAATTATATTTTTAGAACTATATTATTATCAATAATAAAATTAAAATATATTTGAAAGAATCACACGTTTGCCAAAAGAAAATACATATATAATATTTTTATAACGTCTTTATTTTATACAAACACGTTTTGCACTTACCACAGAAAAATTGAGGCTATGACGTAATCACTAAGATTAGATCATGACAGATGATTTAAACATGTAATTTCTAGCAATGAGTTTAATGACATAATTATCCATAAATTATCGAAAATGATATAATATTACAAAGAAGATAGAGATATAAATGAAATATAAGATAAACTTATAATCTTATTAGTTTCATATTCAATGTTCTGAAATACATACGTTATGTTTCCTACAATGAAAAATGATGAATTTAGAAGTTATATTTAATCTACTCGTTAAATTTAATAAAAATAGATATATAAAGATTTTGTTTTATCGCATTATTATACAAAATGTCAATAACATTCAAATATAAATAAAAGATAAATTATGTAATTAAAAATTATAAAATAGATCTTTACAATCAAGAAGTATTTAAGAAACTATTTTAAAAAACATTTAAACTCATAAAAAGTAACAAGTAAAAAGTAAACTCATAAAATAACTTCTGGTAAAATAAGGTGATATATTATTTAAATAATTATTTTCTAAAAACATTTACAATCATTTCGCTAAAATTATACCGATATAACTTTACTAATAATTTAATTAATTTATATAGAGAGAATATAGCTCACTAATCAATAATTTTAATCAGATGACATGAGAAGACTTTTGAATTCGTTATTCATGATTGGTATTTTATAACATGATCTATATGATGAAAAGTATAACTTCTAATAAGGAGAGTGCAAGTTCTTCGGGACATTGATTTAGTTGAAACATTGTAGGTTTGTAGATTTCGTCATGCAGTTCAAGAATATATATCCTTATAGCCGCAACTACTTAATAGTTTTTGAGATATTTATGATTAAAGTTTTATTTTATCATGAATTACAGTTTTATTTCCAATAATTTCCAAATAGAGATGTAGCTTAATAGCGACATTCGGAAGTTCCTATACTGCAGGTTAGGGGTTCGATTCCTTTCCATAATTATTTTTTTCTAATATATTTTTAATTTTCTATTCATTTTTCGCCTATGAAAACATTGTAAACAAACAATTGTAAATAAAATTTCTTAATAAAAAAATTTATTTTTTAAGCTTTCCTATGCAAGTATATATTTATTACAAAATAATAAGAATATTATGCAAGAAAAACAGTTTTCTACAGTAATCTTATTTACTACAGAAAGAAAACGAAAATATAAATAATCATTACATATAGGAAATATAAAACTTATCGCTCATGTAAGTATAAATTATTAAATTAAACATTGTATAAGAATGTTGCTATAATTCCAATTTTGCTGTGTAGCTATGAATGTTCATGAATTAATTACAAAAACTTGGAAATTTATTAATTTTCTACTGCTGAATAAATCAAAATTTTATCGCCTGCGATCAACACCATCTATGATTTGGGCTCAAAAATCAAGAAAGTAATAGGAATATAGAATAGACGAGGAGGTTGTCGAAGAGCTCGTTATGTGACAGACAAGGACAGAGAGGGGATAGAAACGGACAGAAGGGCTCCGACAGAGAAAAGTTAATAAATTACTCAATTTCCGAATTTAATTTATGAACTTTTATAATTTCGGGCAACATTCTTATATAACTTTCGTAAAGAATTTAACACTAAATTGTTAGTTATTAATTATCGTTTGATGCCGTCCATGATTTCGTAACGATGATCATCACGTTTCGTCACCATTGTCTCGTTGCTTCGTTCACTTTCTTTATCACATGGTGTTCTATGACCGGGCTAATAGGAAGGGATCAGTTCTGCCAATAAGGGAAGCGTTTTACTCTACTTCTGTCATGATGTTATAATGGTTGGGCTGGTGGGGATTCGGTCCTATAAGTTTCTCAGATGACTTCTCTCATGCAACGCATAGTAGAAAGAACATAGATTGCGTCTGGAGGTCGCCAAAATCCACGTGACATGGAAGTCGAAATAAATAAAATAATAAAACGATATAAATAACTAACACATATTTTCTTTCCTTCTTTTTATTCACTTAAGAATCCCATAAAGTTTTCTATATTCTTTAGTAAATTTAGCCCAAACAGTGGTTTTAACCAGACAATCAGTATTCATTTCTTTACTTGGCGGACGACAAATATGCAAAGGTACGCCTTTACAACACAATTATAAAATTTCATAAATTAATCACAGAAATTGAGTGATTTGTTCATTTTTCTCCAAGTGAACAGGAGAATGCATAGAAAATGAGAAAAAATTGCAAACAAACGCCGAAAGCATTGTTGTGTCCATGCAGTTGTGCCTGCATCACGAGAAGGATGTAAGTATTTGTATTAACATAACCTTTAGTTGTAATTAAATAGCGTAACTTATGAGCCATTGTTTGCCCACCTTTCATTAGTGATAGCAGAGCTTGGTTGTGAAAAGACAATATTCTGTTGAAATAAACAGGCATGTGCAGCAATAGAAAAATATTGGACTCATGGAATATCATCTGCGTGGATGCCAAGAATTATATTTTATAGCAAGAAAAAATTGAAGCAGCAATACAAATATGTAAAGTATGATATGTCTATTGGATGCTACGTCGGCTAACCATATGACATACAAAATAGAAATCTTTGATGGTCAAATAAAGATTCAGAAAATAAAGATGGTTTAGGCAGACAAAAAGGAATACAATTAATTTAGGTGATAGCCTCTTATAACAACAAGACATGAAGAATACAGTGAGATTGAAAGGTATGTTGTATTCCTGATCTAAATAAATATTAATACCAGTGGTCAAAGTCAATGATCATCGCTAATGTGTTAAGTTCAAATAAAAGGAGTGAGAAGAGTAAACACATATTATGTCGAATCAAGAAACAGGAAAAGGGCAGCATCTATATCAACGGAGATGGATGTGTGGTATGGACATGCAACTATAAAGATCATTGAAGAGATTTGGAATGAACAAGTGGTAATAATTATGAAAGTTAAAGATAAATTGAATATAGAGTGTGAATGTTGTATTAAGGCACAAATGTGTAGAAATATAGGAACTTGGAGACTATAAAAGCAGCTGAAATAATGAGACTGTGGCACATGGAATTGATTCGGCCAATAAAGCCAAAGTTAAAGGGAGGTAAAAGGTACGTATTTCCTGCTAATGATTATTCAAGAAAAGAACCATTTGGTTGACTGATTTATAAATGACTAAAGATTTAATATGAAATAATATTGACGATGGATTTTTTTTATTGTAGGAGACATACAAACATGAATAATATTTAGATGCAAGAGCTAGCCAACAAGAGTAAAGTAATAGGTATTAGTTAATAATATTTCAATAGATTGTATATCTGTTTTTAAAAATTTAATCCATATACAATATTTACTTTCTAAATTTCTATATTAATATATTAAATAATTTCTAATTTGAATTACAATAATAAATAATGAATTTTAATAAATTTGATTTTAAAATTATTTTACAGTAATCAAACTAATGTATTTGTTATAACTAGGTTATAATGAAAACAAGTGTTAGTGATATTGAGTTAGAATTATGGGTAAAAGAAATTCCAAAGGCACATAGAAATTTCATACAATTATGTATGGAAGGTTATTGGGATGATACTATATTTCATACACAAGGTGGTGACCCTACAGGTACAGGAGAAGGTGGTAAAATATATGGAGAACCATTTAAAGTAAGACTAAATTTAAAAATAAAATGAATTCCTTTTTTATTCAAAAATAATTATTGGATATATGTGTTTCAGGACGAATTTCGTACAAGATTACGTTCTTGTGGACGAGGTTTAATTCCTATGGCTAATGCTGGAAAAGATGACAATATTTCCCAATTCCTCTTTATTCTTGGTTCTACATCAGAATTGTAGAGTAATCAAACAAACATACAATCTTTGGTAAGGTTACTGGAGAAACTATATATAACATGCTTAAACTTGAAAAAGCGCTTGTAGATGAGGTAAATTTAATGTTTACAAGAAAATATAATATTTTCTCTTTTTTGTAGAATGATAGACCACTTTATCCTCCAAGATTGATAAAAACTATAATATTGAACAATCCATTTTCTGATATTATACCAAGAATAATAGTACAGGAAAGTGAAGAAGTGAAGTATAGTTCAAAAACTAAAACAGCAGCAGTAAAGTAAAAATCATATATGTTTGCAGAATTTAGCTCTGATAGTATTATTCTTTGTAGTGAAAAATTTTGTTACAGAGATTTCAGCCTTTTATCATTTCTTTTATCTGTCACGTAACAAGAATTAGATGACGTCCTTGCTGATTTTATGTTCCTGTTACTTTCTTGCGCTTCTGGTCCAAAATCATAGACAGCGTTGATCGACTATCGGTCGATTCTATCCTTGTCTAACTTATTGAAGAAATTAGTGCCGTGTCAACAAATTGTATTAGGCATCTATGGAGTTCATTTATTAACAGGATTCAACCTAGATATTATATTTTACTGAACATATTAGACATTTCTTTTTTAATCCTTTGCTATTTGTATCATATTATAAAGGAACACTTAGTAATTATATGTATACAATATTTTCTTAAGTCTGACAGTTTATCGTCAGTAATAATTCCTTTGTTATTAATTAATATGTTACAAATTTGGCAGGAGGTTTTATGCAAACACTGCCAAATTTTTTATCGATAGAATTCTTGGAAAATGACGTCATTTCTTGGAATTTTCTCGGTATGCCACCTTCTTTCAGAATATATTCGTCTAACACAACATCGGATATTTGGCATTTTATTCAATAAATTATTATTAATTATTGCACAGTGTGTTTTAACTAATGCCGAAAATACTAATAGTCACTATCTTTTATACTATTATATCTCTGTCTCCCTGAGGCTGTTCGCATATCATTTTCGTTTACATGTTACCTCTACTTTTGTTCGTTATTCTGAATTTTAACGAAACATCGTGACGGTCGTCAGTAGCAAATCACGTACCCCTTCAGATAATTGTTAATAACAAACTAATTAGATTTAACTCGATTTGTCTCGAAATTTCAAGATTCGTTGCTTTTTTCTAAAATAATAGTCACAGTTGACTATTTAATTTATTTACAACTTCTACATATGTTAAAAATAAATTTTTTAGTGTAAATGATTCTAAATTCTCGCTACTCAATTTTCAAATTCACTTTTTATTTTATTTTCTAAATAACCCTGAAATTCCAGTTTAATAATCGTTTAGTTTGGTAATCGAATTTTATTTATTTCAATCATTCGCTAGAATCTATTTACATTTGCAACATTAAATCCGAGAAGCAGGTAACATTAAAAGCTAAGGACTTGTCTTAGTTAATAAAGCAAAGCTAGGTGGATATGTTATGACTCAGTGAGGTAGAACTATTTCGCTTAGATCGTATCGATGTAGGCTGTATAAATTTGCATAAAGCTACAGACGAAACATATCGAAATAACATATTGCATTTGAGGCCTAAAAATGATCGTCTTCCGATGTCGAATACTACATGATTACAATAACCTTCTAATGTTGTCATTTTTCAATGAACTTGTAGGTTATCGATAACAGAAATCGAAGCGTTATCTGGAATCGCCAATGATTCAATGCGCATGCGCGTGCACATGCGTGCGCAGCAGACAGCTTTCTTTTCTACTTCTAGGTGAAGATGCAAGAACCAGTATCTGCGTTCACCGGCCGCCGTGGTAAACTGGTATTTTGCCAACTAGTAATCGGGCGAAACGATGCTCCAATAATCCAATGCTATCCACCTAACGGAATGGCAAAGTATAATACCATTACCTTAAGGCTATCGATGGTATCAAAGATGCATCTTTGAAAAGGAAAAAACGGCACAGTACGTAAAGTAAAACGTATGTGAAACGTTCGTGCTCGGATTCCACGGTATGTGCGGCAAACTCACCGCGAGTACATAGCATTTACGGCTTGTTGATGGACAAACTGTTAGAAATTATAGGCTCAGTTGAATGGCGCTGTTGACATAACATGAATTTCTTCTTAGAAGAATCATTTTCAGATTATCATATTCCGTGGGAATATTGTCTGTGGAAAATATATATTACGTATTTCCGTTTTTTATAATCGTTAGTTAGGAAGGATTTATACGGAAGTATCGGGTAACCTTCATGTGCTCAAAATGAAAAATCCGATATTTTATGTTACATACATTAACTCGCAGTATTTAATATATGTAAATGTAATAATAGTAGATAAATAGATATATATTTATAAAATAAATATAATAAATAAATGATTATAAAAATATTTAAGTAGATATTATATTACTGCAAAATTTGTTAATCGTTGTAGAATATATATAACGTAAATTTTTCACCTGTATTTGAAATATTTAAATCATTATTCAAATATATGGATATAGAATTCAAATATAATTAAATAAGATAATCATCATATATAAATGTTTAGAAAGATAAATAAATAGATAGTTGTATACAATATTTTCGGTATAAAATATTTTAATTGTAAAAAGATAAATATAATATAAATAATTCTTTTCCTATATATCATATCCAAAGTATTTACATTGTTGTAGTTTTTAAATATATGTAAGTATTAAAATTATATATAATTTTCTAGCTATTTGTTTACAGAATAAGCATTTAAAATGTACAAATTATTGTTCAAAGACGTATAGAGAATTTGATAGAAATATATTTTCATTAAAAAAAAGTTATAAAAATTCATTCTACTTTATTTACTAGTTTGCAGATATATTTTAATTTGTAGGCATAATAAACATTATTCCGCACAGATAACATTTATATTTAAAGAAATAGAAAACTTCTACAGAAAATTATATAAAATTTGTTTAATTAGGTGGCTAATATTTCATTAATATATTATTACCAAACTGAAAATACAAATATAAGCTACAAATTATATTTATTATTTTCTTTGCATTATTGAATAAATAGTCTTCCATTGTGTTAAATTAAATTATCAGTAAATTGATGATTGATAACTGAATGACAATCACATAAATAAATTATACTCGATACAACATACATAATATAGAATACAAAAGTAATAAGACTATATTTAAATAATAATTCTAAACATAAAAATTTGTTGCAGCAATATTTAATATTGCTTGTTACATATTCTTCAATATTTAACACTGTCTATTAACATTTACAACATATCGTGAAATCGATCAGTTGATGCAATTATCATGGCACATATGTGCGTGGTAACGAAAGCGTTGCATCTTGGTCCCGTCTTTGGACACGAGATGCCTCCGCAACGCATAAAAGCAAGAAAATTCAGTGAAAGAGATTCCAAGTGACAGTGGTTTCGAGGTCAGTGGAACACGCGGAAAGTTTCGTTGGAAGCATTAAACAGCATTTATGGCCATGCTCCTCGATTTTTTTCGTTTGTAAATAAACAAGGCAATCAAATAGTGATCCCTAAATGACTGAAATTTAGTACAACTTTCTTCCACAGCTGCATCCGTTGCACGCCATTATCTTTCACGCAGACTTCCGGTCTTTTCTAAAGGGTTATAAATATTAATGCTTCACTCGGGAATTTATTTGTTTACCGAAATTAAGAAACATATTTTTATTCATATTTTTTGTAACATTTTAATGACTAATTTTGCAAAAGAAGGTTGTTATATATTATCAACATCCTTACGTTTTGATGTCATATCTTGGGATAGGACTGGTGAAATTGAAGTTTCGAAAAAGTAATTTGTCGCATAAACAGTATTTAATGAAAGGAAAAAATATTCTTATGAAAATTAATGATAATAACTAATAATTCACAAAAATGCACGTGGTCAATGAACATTCTAGTAGTTTAACGAAATGAGCTATTCAATGCTTTGTAAGTAACCATGAGACCTTATATATTCACCAATTTGTACGAAATTAAAGAATAATAAATTGTCCAATACATAAATCAGTATAACTAGTAGAATTATCAATTAGTAAAATCATTAATAAAGAAGGAGGTAAATTGTTATTATAAATTTATATATTTATTATACTGAAGCTTACTGCCTAATACAGTCCCAATACAAAAGAGCTCTAAACCCGACAAATTTTGCATTACAATGCAGGAAAGTTTCAACGCGGGTCATTTGTCAAGTAGGTTAAAGAATAAATAAACATCAAATCCTCTCACATCTAATCCCCTCGAAAAACACATACGCTCTATTTTTCCATTCGTTCACTTTTCATTGTCCATATAAACAGCAAAAATAATTTCCCAGATACTTTTCCGCTCTATTACACATTTCGTGTCGACCTAACCTCCAAACATTTCTACCAAGCATTCGAGAATAACACATTCGAGAAAAACTCATGAAAACAAGCCCAAGAATGCTTCCTACCAGTGACCAACAAAAGAAAACGCAAAAACATAAACAAACCGAAGCAAGTACCATCAAGGAAGAAGACTGGAACCTCAAATTAGAAACTCGAGCAAGTGAGACACGAGGTCGGTGAGGGACAACGCGATCCGTACTTTCCTCAAATAACCGATCGCGAACCAAAAGATAATGCTAAAGCGAAAGGATATAGCAACGTGTTCGAGATCCCGCGCAAATTGCGGCTTAAAGAGGAAGAAAGAAAAAGCTGGCTAGGTCGCAAGATCTGCTGGCCAGTGCTGGTAGCTAGCGCGTCCAGCAGCCACCAGTCACGAACAATATTGCTATTTCCGGCGATTCTACATAGCCAGGAGGACGGGATGCGCGCTGCTAGCCACCTTTCTCCTAATTGACCGAGCAAGAGGAGGTCCGTTGCGCCAGCACCTAGGAGGGCCCTTGCTACGTCACTGCGGGGCCCCGTGACACACATCAATAGACCGAAATATAACGGTACCCGCCACGGTGACCTACTCCGCGGCTCACGTGCGCTCTCTCTTCCCCGTTCCTTCATCCTTTCCTCAAGTGCCGACTGCTCTTCCTCTTTCTCTCTCTGCTACCCCCCACCGCCGCCGCTCGGCCGCTTCTCGGTCAAGCGATCGTCGAACGCGAGCGCGCACGAAGGACTTCCCGCTGGCCGCTGTACTTTTACCGAGCGAACCCCAGGCGACGCACGCGACGCCGGCTGATTACACGGTCAGTAATGAAAGCGTCCTCCTCGCGCGTGGAGGTGCTGTCATGTAGCCGCGAACTGTCGCCTGTCTTCTGTCGTTTTTACGCCGGTAAACAGTCTGTTAGTGAAAACGGTACCGCCTTTGGACTATCCGCGTGATCGTCCATCAATACTTGGACCGGGACGCAGAGTCGGTCCAAAGCTCCGAATTTCAGTCAAACGCGAGTTATGAATGTGATCGTGCATCTCGTCCTCCAGGTGAGCGCTAATTACTTCGTTTCAGATGATGTTCAGCGAGAGATTGCCTTTCGTCGCGTATGGTATAAAAGCATTTTGGCTTGGCTAAGATGCGTTTGTTCGGATCCATGCAGTTGGGTTCGTGGATTTGATGGTTGGTCTGCTAGAGGGTGCCTCTGCTAGAGACATAGAGGATGATGTTAATTGTTTATGCGAACTGTTCTCAGGAGTTGCATATGGAGATCACTAGGGGGAGATATTATAGGAATATTTTGATTGATTTTTCTTTTTTTTTTCTTTTCTTTTTTTGTTTTGGTATAACTTGTGGCTGAATATATTGGTATATTTGGAAAGAGAAATTAATAGGTGGAAGAGAATTTAATAGGTATGAAGGTACGAGTGTTTTTAAAAAGTTAAAAAGCTTTAGCAAGTTGATTCAAATACGTGATAAATATATTAAGTTTTAGGAAAATATAAACTGATATAATGGGAAGTATGCTTGGCATGTTCAAGAATATAAAATCAGATAATAAACCATAAAATTAAATAAAAATATAAGTTTTACTCGCCATTATATGAATTTTAAATAAAAAGCAGAAAATATTACCTATTATGTATTCTTCCCGTGATCTCCATATGTATTTTGATACAGATGTTATGCTAGAAATCTTTGCATCTATTTTGTAATTGGTTAACATATGTTTATCACTGTAATGTTACAAGGAAAATGCCAATTAGTATATGAGTACTTTGAAGCTATTTTGAAAATATTTCATTTTACCCAAAAACTTGATTTTTGTATTTAGTTCAAATAAAAATTAAATAAAATCCGAGATATAGTTAGTAATAATTCAATACAATTTTTATCCTATAAAAAGTGGCATGTATATTATTGTTATGATAAATTTTAAAATCGACTTACGAATTTATTAACATTGTATATCGTTGTAAAATAAAAATGTAAAGTACTAAATATTCTAATTTCTACTGATATCAATTTTAAACGTGATATTCGTATCAATATATGCACTATATTCATGGTACTTTATCCTGATATTAAATTATTGAGATATATTTTAAAGTAATTGATGATAAATGAAATGTTGATCAACAACATAATATATGTATTTGAATAATAAATGTAAATATGAGTGATATGGAATTCAATCAAGTAATATTTAAATGAAGTTAAATAATTATATACATATATAGTAATTTCTATAATAATTTTATAGAATAAATATAATGTAATGTAATATGATATTTATAGTACGTAATACTTTTCACATGTTGGTGGTCATTTGAATTATTATAATCGAAAGAATAACACAAATAAATATTAAAATTGAAATCATCGATTTATGAAATAATTTATGAATAATGTATATTTATTACTATTTTCTTTTATTAAATCGTTGACATAATAATACGAAATACACTCACAATATATATTGTGCTTTCGGTATAAATGTTTATAGGAAAAATTACTTTAACAGAATAGTTTACAAATCATTATTATTCAACGTCTTATTCAGTTAGTTATTAAAAAGTAAATAGCCATTTTCGAACATCCTTCTTCAAATACAAATTATTTAAAATTTGACAGAGTATTCACAGCATATACAAAATTAACTTCACACATATTATAGTTCACAATTATCAACGTAGCTAATCCAATCGAGTGTATGAAATAAAAATGTAAATAATTAGAAAATTAACAAAATATATTGGTAAGTGTATTGAATTTGTTCTTGAAACGTAAGAAAGTACACAATGCACAATTTTGATCTCGTAGGTGATCACATATCAGCTTGTAAGATGTCAAGGTGGAGGACCAAGCACCTTCGGATACGATGCATCCTCGGCTTGCAGCAAACCATATTCCCGGGCTGGTCGTGCACGATTGGTAAATCTTCCATGTGACTTCCGGCGACAGAACTGGTGCACAATAGCTGGTAGCTCTTATCCTTGGTATGCCAATAAAATTATTTAATAAATAGCCTAAATAATCCAATGGTACTTGTTATTAATGATGTCACAAAGAAAATGATAAAAATATAAGATTATAATTATTATCATTATAATATTATTAAAATTATGAATATTATAATTGGAATTACAATAAATTATAAAATTATAAATTGTAAGAGAAAAGTATAATAAATGATGTTATTTAACCTTTTATTATATGTGTAACTTAATGTGATCACACTGAAAATCCAAATAATACATAAGCAGAATAACCATATATAAAAGATGCTATATTTTGAACTAAAATTTTTTGTTACTACATATTTTTAAGTCATATTTAAAATGTATAATGTATTTTTAACATTAGGTTTATTAGTTTGTAGTATTTCTTAGTTTTCACTTTCATTAGTTATTTATTGATTTAAAAAGAATTGTAAATTATTTAAAAGGCTATTTCGTTTGATCAAATAACATTATTTATTAATAGAAAGTAGTTTGCGAACAAATTTAATGTTAAATGTATTGGTGATTTTATGAAGATTATTACCAAAAATTAATAAACTATTTAATTTATTTCAATATTTTCAATCTTCGATTGTCTTTAATGTTTTGTCCGATTAAACAAATATACATTGTATAATACTATAATACCATCAAAAAGTTTTATTATTATATATTTATTATTTCATTAATGCAACATGTATTCTCAATCGTTATTAATAGATAATTTATTATCATATTTATTTTATATTACTATAATATAATTATTGTCACGTGTCATTTTCCGCATACGTGCACTTCAATACTAATTAGTATATTTTATTCTCTTCTTATTTGTTCTTTACATTTCATCCTCCTGAATAAAAACGTAACGTTGATAGGCTAACCTCGAAATTAAAATTCCTAGGAAATTTTTCATAATTATTAAATTACTCATTATCAAATAAGAAATATATATATAGTAAAAACTAATCAATCGAATGTAATATTTTTTAATAGATTTATTAATGGGATTACTAAACTACTAGTATTAGAAAATAAGTTCAATAATAATTCGTTCAGTTTTTATGTGTTTTAAAAAACATACTATATCTATCAACAGTAGAAAGCTAATCGACAATACGTGTAGAGACATATTCTGGAAGTTTCACTATTCAAATGTATCACTGCTAGCATGAATTTTAAACAAGGGTCTGCATGCCTTCAGTTATTAAAACCGTACGTGACTGAACTACGAAAGTATTAAGGAAACGATGTACTTTTACTCTCGATAATGTGTACACTAATTTAATATGCGGTAGTTTTTTGAAAGTCACGAGAAATGTTCGAAATCAAATTAACGTTCTAATTCAGATTAATTATATTTATTTTCTGTTTATTAACTTGTTATATATACTTCAGCTTGATCTTGGGAATAGAAAAATTTGTATAAATAGTTGTGATTGTATTATATATTGTATATAATATATTTTGAAGAAATATACTTTTAAAAACGATTATTACTAAAATTGATATAATAAAACAGTTTTTTCATAAAGTATCAACTGAATAATTTTAGGCACGCAGTTCGCCGTTTCGTGCAAGAAAACCAAGGATTAATGAGGCGCATGTATGGCGATGAAAGGCACCTTAACGTATTAAGAGCGGAATTCGAGAGAAATGATATTGAATTAAAGTATGATGATTATTACCATCATTTTTCCGACGATTACAGGTGAGTTTTTGAAGAAAAATAAGCGATATTGCCAATTAATCGATGTGTATTTCCAAAATTTGTATGTTAATATTAAATATCATAATTTTCATTTTTAATTTATCAACTGATACTTTTTATAGACGTAGATGTGATCTTTTTATTCTTTAAAGATTTAATTTACTTTATTTTTAAAGATTTAAATATTTTTTTTGTTATTCTGTAATATTATACATATATTAGATTGTAGTATTTTATAAATTTTATAAATAATTACATATGCAATAATCTATTTACAATCATCTATATTACTCATTACTCATACAGATTAAAACTAAATTTAAAGAGCTTTTGTCACATTATGAGAACATAAAATATCGACAATGACAATTTTGGCAAATAAATATGGATAATGGTAATTTCAATGTTGATAAATATAAATAATCTGAACCGAAATTTCAAATAAATATATCTTAAATTAAACGTAATATATTTAATTAAGACAGTGAGACTAAAATTTTACCAGAATTCATAACATTATCAATCAATTTACCATAGATAATTTAAATTAAATAACATTATATTGAATTAACGAAATCTTCAAAATAATGAGCCTCTTATCCTTCAAAATCATTATGTTATTGTACTCGATCATCACTGTTATTTCAGGAAAATAGTAAAAATCGTTTGACTTAATTTTTCATAGACATTCAATTACAAGATAATCCAACCTCATTAGGCATTTAATATATCTCATTCGAAAAAGCAGATATCAACACTTACTTCTAGCAAACCTATCAAACTTATTAATCTACTCCATTAAGTCAAATATACGTATAAAAAAAAAAATATTCAGAAATTGAATAGAAAAGACCCGAGTAATAGTACACTTTCACGACTAACTATAGCTCATAACATACCTAATAACATACTCTACTAAACCATTCCTCCATCACACTTTTACATTTCCAACCACAAACTTCTAACTCAACCCCAATCGACAATTCAGAAAATATCAGTACACGCACGATTACGAGTACTTCGAGGCTGATGAGAGCTTAAGAAACGGTAACGAGTTCGAGGGACGAGGCTTCACCAGCAAATCCTTTAATGAGAATGCCGCAAAGCGGCTGAACAAATTCCCAAAATTAAGCGAATACACGAGGCCGCACTTCAGACCAACCGAGAAAACCAGCGTCCCGACCTCGACAACCACCACTACGACTACCCCATCGACGATCACAGCCACCTCTTCTAAAGAGACCGCGTCCTCGACCCTAACCTCGTCGACCCCTTTAACCACCCAAGAGTCAACCAGTAAGTCCACTTCTTCCACGACGAGCTCGTTAAACAGCACGAGTGAAGAGAAGAGGACGTCGGAAGAGATAACCATGTCGCCTACAGTGACGACTTCTTACATGGTGAAGGAGCAGAACTTCAGCATCAACGAAATCTCCGAGCAGATAGACAGGATCGACGAGGTGGTGGAGGAAACTGGCGAGGTGGCTGAGGTCTCCGAGTCTACGTTAGAGGAAACGTCGACTGTGAGTTTGTCAGAGACGACCGAATTGCCCGTGGAGGTAGATGGCAGCAAAGATTTGTTGGCCACGACGAAAGAAACGACTGCGCAGGAGGAGACGTCCAGTTCGAGCGAGCAACAGGAGTTCAGGCCGCGACCGGAATATCGACCTGCGAATAAGCCGGAAGCTTCGACTATGGAAGGCCAGCTGTATCAGGACGTCGCCGCGAAAGATCAACAGGAACAACCGGTTCTGAAGCTTCGGGGAGTGTAAGTGGCGATCGTTTTGCTTGCATCGATTATGAATTCGCCGATAGTGTTTCACTTTTGTTTAACGCTAGAACTGCCGACTTGTAACGTATAGTGTGCACAAATAGTATACATTATGGTAGTATAATATAAATAAATAGATATAACGATAATAATATAAATATTAATATTATTTATATATAATATACTACTAATATGAAATATTGTTATCATTATGATCTAATTATATATACATATATACACATAATGATATATGATTGTTATATACACAGATTTACACAGATATATAGAATATGCAGCAAATTTTTTTTAATTAATAATATTAACATAATTTTATAGTGCTTATTATATATAAAGTTATATATAACTATATCATAAAATAATAATAATATATGTAGAATATTATAGTATAGTTTGATATATATTTTCAATAGTTTTACATATTTCAGTGAAAGCATATATTAAATTTTCGAAAAGTAGCTGTATGTTTTCATTAACTGCGGAAACAAAAATTCTCACGAAAGTGATTTTATCTGGTATGGTAATTCTGATTAAGCTAAGGAATGCTTCCTTATTATATGTCGTTGGATCTATGGCAAGACATTGTAGAATGTGGAAATGTGTAAAAGTTTGTTAAGATAGGAAGATGATAAGGAAGGAAAATTAGATCATAGTTTATTCATGACTATCCTGAAATTACTGGTATCTAGGTGTTGGTAGTCTTTAAATACTAGTTAAATACTGGTTTACATAATCAGGAAGTTGTTCGGATCAGCTTTTATCTAGGTAGAATCAGAGGAGCAATATTCATGTCACGTATTAAAATTGAATTTTGTTAGAATAGTCTTATTTATATTGTAATTATAATATGAATAATACTACCTTATTGTAATTATAATTACACCGATTGAATTATTTATGTTACAAATACTTATGTTACAACTTAAAAATTAGATGTTAAATTAAAAAAATATTTTCCTTATTTTACAGTAGTTATGTTATTTATTATTCAAGTTTTTGATAGTACTAAATATTTTGAAATATCGTTTAGTATATTATAGAATTATGATTTTATTTTGATACAGTATAAACCAGTATGAAATAGTATAAACATATTACTTTACTTAGAATTGTTGGTATTAAAAAGCAATAAATTTGCTTCAATAAAGTTAATAAATATGTGAGAAGGTAGTAAATTTAGTTAATTGAAATTAAGATAAATTTAGAGCTAAATATGTAAAAACTTTTATCAGAACAATCAGAACACTATAATATAAAAATATTAGAAATCTATAGTATAATTTTTGTCTGATTCAATAATAATACTAAATATAGTAATTATAATTTAATATAACACTTATAAATTATTTTTTGCATATATTATAAATATTTCAGCAACGCTTGTCCAGTGAAGGAGGAAGTAGTGGCGCCATTTTGGGCAAACAATACGAGAGGCGAAGTACTAGCACTTCTGAATCTTTACCCCTTCGAGCAATACGTTCACTGGGAAAAATGCACGTAAGCATTGAAATATTCAAGTGATAAATCATAAAAAGCCATCATTCAAATTACAATTAGTAACACTGTCCAACACGAACTTTAATCTGTAATATCTCTTGGGTAATTCTTGTATAGTTTACTTTCATTAACCCTTTGGCCTACAACCACGAGTGGAACTCGTGGTAAGGAATTTGTGCCATGAGCGAAAACCACGAGTCTAACTCGTGGTAAGGAATTTGTGTCATAAACGAAAACCACGAGTCTGGCTCGTTGTGAGAAAGTGGCTCCATTAACAATACGCAGGAGTTGAAGTCGTGGTAATTCATTGTGCCGAAATAATATACATGTCAAGTTCGGGCACACGGTTGAACAGTTTAATGGCTCGGTGCGCAACCTTCTTGTTTACTATGGCCCGCGCAATCAAGAGATAGTGCGTAAGCCAAGGAGTTAAAACGAATCCGTAATCGAAATTGCTCTATCACCCTCAATTTTCGAAAATTCTGCGTTTTTATAAAAACTCACGGTTGTTGGCTAAAACGAAGAATTACGTAAAACGTAGAAACGTTAAGAGACTCATTCTTATTTTAATATTTAGGTGAGAGAATTCTGAGTTTATCAATGTCTATAATCATAATTATTTGTTTTTCTTTACAAAGGGAATTTTGGAAATTTATAATACATAGAAAATATCTTAAGCTTGTTACGTAGCTCTTAGCTTGGTATCGTTTCCCAAAAATTGTTCTTTGGGAAACGATACCAATTACCAGGTCCCACCACGTGGAAGTGGCTACGCATCGGAACCCGACATGCGCTCTAGTGGCGCATCCTACTGGCGCTACCTGTATCAAAGGAACCCTAATCTAACTTGGAGCGAATTAAGTTAAAGTGACTCTACTGACACATTATTTTATTTCGTGTCTTGCAAAAGGATTTGTGATTATTCGAAAGACCGACTAGCCTACGCGACGTACTCTCGTGTACAAGACAACTTCATGCCTCGGCACCAACCCGATCGGGCCTAACTCACCCTGCCACTGCCAATCTCGCCATGGCTTACTCGATGATCTAAGGCAGCTAACGAACCAGTGAAACACCCAGAGTCAATCCGAGGGTCCTATGCGAGGTCTAACAATCAGAATCACGCGCACGCTCCTTGCCCCAGCGCTATGCAAACATAACCACATAGCCGCTGTGCAATGGGGCAGGCAGGCATGCTGTTGCAATGATTCCGACTGCAGGGCCCATCCCCCGGTCGTGTACTCCCGGTCGTGTGGCACCCAGGACGACTAAGGTCGACGGACCCTCGTGTTGCTCCAGATGCCTCACCAGCCCGAGGGCCACCAGAGATCCCGATGCATGACGTCATTGACAGTGGCAGAAATGAGTGTCGGAGACGAGTCGTGAAGATGATTTACGAGGCGTGGAGTTGTCGAGTACACGGGAAGTACGTCGCGTAAGCTAGTCGGTACTTAAGAACGATCGCGATTATCGCGAGAACAATTATGTCCTATTTTGTAACGAGAGGAATAAGAGAATGTATATATTCGCTCCAAGTTAGGTGGCTTACCTGTGAACGGATAGCGCGCACATAATACTTAGTCTAGAGATTTATCTTATAACTGCTTACAACTACTTATGTCTAATCGCATGCATCCCTCGCCGTCCAACCATGTCTTCCGATGAAATCTTGAAAAACTTAAAATCTACCTTATAGATACTTAAATCTACTTAGATCTAAACGCATGCATCCCGCGTCGTCCAACGATGTCTTGAAAAACCTGAAAGCTGAAAAAGAAAAGGTTAGTAAGTGATTAGTAAAACATAATAGAAGCGAAAGAAATATAAACGATAATGATCAATAAAATGGAATAAACAATCCAACGGTAAGACGTAAAGAACCTAACGATGAGAAATAAAGAACCCAACGGTTACGAGAAGAATGGTTACGTATGGACAAAATCTCACTTACGTTTTGCCAATATATATTTTACCGCACTGTCAACACTGAAGATCATCCTAATGTTGTGCCTGGATAATTTCTTTTTCAGAAAAGCCTACGGAATACGCTGCTGTACAGCAAATTCGTGTCAGATAAAGAATATTTTGTAAAAATGCAAGAATTTGCGTAGGAGGTACGCTCGGAGGCTTATTTTTAAACTATAATGACCAATTATAGTTATTAAGATACACAAATAATTATAATTATCGACACTTCAACGAACAATCATTAAAATTAAGAATCATTATAAAAACTCACATTTTTCGAAAACTAAAGATGATAGAGCAATTTCTATTACAGATTCGTGTTCAGAAAAGTATCACCTAGTGGATATTACAGATTAGAGAAGTTAAAATTTGTTGGACAGTGTTATTAATTACAATATATATCTTTACAACGAAAATTCATAGAATAATCTACAGTATTATCTTACTGTTATATTTTAGAAATTTTTGCCCAATTTAAAAATTAATTGATCGATTAGTCGCTTATCAAAACCAAAAATACATAATCTACTAATTTATTATTAATATCAAAATGGTGAATAAGCAACTTCAGTTTCACAAACTTTGAATCCCAGTCATTAATCAAAGAAGGAAAAAGAGCAAAGAATCTAACTCATCCTGGTACATTTTGCTTTCCGAAATTCCTATAGTTAAGAAAGAAATTGGAATTTAATTGTTATATCTTCGAAACTCAAACCCAAATCTCACACAAGAAGTTCCAAACTTCAATGTTTCGCGGAATCCATCTCCATCTATACAACATTTTCAACTCTTTTGAAATCGTGCTACATTATGTACGATTTTTGGCTAAATTAATCCTATGCAGATAGAGTTCTGCGCGTCTAATAAACAACAACTCCTTTTTACAATAAAACAGGTTTTATTTAACTAAAATATTACACTAAGTTTCTCACACGATTCTCTATTCACTACATCTTTGCCACAAACATTCAGCCTTCTGCCTTCTGACTTCTCTTTACTCTGCTTACTCTCGACTCTGCGTTCTCTACTTTCTGACTGCTTCGCGCTCTTGCATCCTTACTTAAAGCCAAAACTATCTCTTTTCATACACATATTTTTCTTTCCCTCTTAATCATTCGACATGGTCACAGACATCCCGACAAAAGGATTTGGTGCTATCGTTTGTTCTTTCGCCCTAAACGTCCGAGTTGGACTCGATTCCGCCGTTCGCTATCCCTCGTTTTTCGAGAAACCGCTCAAACGTTTTCATGCACTCCCTTAGAAGTAAGACAGCACACCCTTTCGCCCCGTTACTACTCTTAACCCTTTGCACTTGACGATTTTTTGTCTAGAGAAGAGTAGAAATTCAGATTCTCTACTAAAAAACTGACGATACTTTTTTGAGCAGCAAATAAAAAATTGTATAATAATAGAATTGTCGAATTATTTGACTTCGATATTTCGCACACTGTTACATTACATTAAATTTGATATATTAATTAATATCGATCTTCCAAATTTTATGAAACGATGACTGAAGCTCACCTCTCGAGTGCAAAGGGTTAACCCTTTTACTTTGATAGTGTCCTTCACCGCTCGCCATCCCACAATTATCATCCCTTGAATATCACGTAAAAATGATATTAAGCCATTATTGACTGTCATTTTATTTGTCCAAAGACACGAAAACAAGCAGATGTACTGCCGAGACGGGTGCAGGTGCGAACAGCAATACAGACTCCATCGGTTGCTAGCTTACGACCCAAACAACGAGTGTCGTGGCATCTTCAGCGACTGGTTCAAGTTTCCCAGCTGCTGCGTTTGCCGTTGTTACGACTTACCCCTTGAATTTCGCGTAACCTCGCGCTCTCCTCGCACCCAGAAGCAGCGGATTAAAGTACGACCGCCTCGAATTCACTACACGTAAGGAAACACGCGTTGTTTCCTCGATTTAAGAAATCTCGATGCCACGATAATATTAGGAATTCTTCGATGATTCCGTCCTTGATTCAGCTTATCCACCGTGTGCGACAAAATTGTTTTCTTCAGTGTTCCTTCAGTGTTTCTCAAATCACAGTAAAGCCATGTGTCTGTGTGAAAGAAAGCCACACGATTCATCAAATAGATCGAATTTGATTTTACAGAGAAACAAAAGAAAATATTGGAAAAATTATTATCTTTGAAACATTCTCTAAATCACTATATCTTGTTCTATAGGTTTATTTTATGGAAGAATTAAGTTTAATCTCCTAACGCTAGCTTTTTGCGAATAATTTCGAATTCAACACGCGAAGAGGAATACTTTTATTCTCAAATGATGAAACCTCGTTGACTTGTGCTGTCATTTCGTTGTATTGTGATTTATCATGTAAATGAAATTTTTGGAAATTTTACTATTGATATTTGTAAAATAAAATAAATATAGGTTAATCTCTTATATTACTAAAGAAGGATTTTACATATTAGATATATATGTAAAATTGGTCTCAAGGAACACTGAAAGTCATTTTGTGATATAATTTTGTTGCGTACTGTATAGGCTGAGCTTCTTGTAAATAATTCTATTGTTGTAAACGACGATGAGGGTTTGATAATTATAGGATGTTTGAAATTTGGTATTTCTTTTGATGAAAGATTTCATATCTAGGATGAGACATAATTCATGACACCGAAAGGGTGATGATTCATCATGCACAATGAGATCAAATTTTTATATAGATAATTCATAAAAGTAATAATAAAAAGTCTTTCGTGATTATAATAAATTTGAAATTTCCTTTTTTAATACAAAAGAATTATAATATAAAGAGAAAAATATTACACATAGTGCATTCGATTTGTAATTTTTACACAAAATTAATACGTAAAAGGGTCAAATTTTATAAAAGAAAGGTAAATAATTTCTAAGTTTGTTATTAATTTACTTAAATTACGTCACCATTACTGGCTATGAATATAAATTCGATATTATTCGAAAAGTTTTACTATAGATTTGTGTAACGAAAAGCACACTGCCGGAAAAATTGAAACGAATGTCGACAATTTATTAAAATTTATGAAAATTTATGAAAATTTATGAAAATTAATGGCTTCAGCCTAGTCAAGAAATTTAGTCTTCGTTATTGTTATTTATAACAAGGAAGAAATTCTCTCTCATAGAATCCATTTGCCATAGTTACTTAGTTTTATATCACTCGAGATATATAATAGCTTGTAAATATAAACAATTGAGTAAGAAACAAACGCGAAAATAATCCACAAAAGAATTATATACAGGACATATACTATAATTCCTTTTTATTATTTTATAATAAATTGGTGCCTCGATTGTTATAAGTATCTATTTACATGTTTAATAGATATATCACATTGTTATGTATATTATGTTTGTATAGATATGTACACGTAAATTTTGATCACAAGTTGTCTCAAGTAATCATAATTTATAATTATTTAATTTATAAAAGATATGATGTGGGAAACGTTTAAAATGGCAATCATTGTGCTTAGCATTATTTAAAATTAAGCTTCCTTTCCACATTGAAGATTTTAACAAAATACGATATTGTTATGTTGATTTTTATTGTAAAAAGGATCTACTTGCAGGTGATAGGAGTTTAATTATTCTATATATAAATTAATCATTCTAAACAGATATATGTATAATTTGGAAGGCAATAATTTTTCCAAAAATCATGAAAAATATTTTTTGGACGTCTCATAAGAAATCTAATGCTATTATTCGATATTTAAAAGGAATACTCATCATGTATTACTGTCAATACTATCATCTTTTATTACTGCTTGATATTTCTTTTTACTTTGACATAGAAACGATGCTTTTAATTTGTTTGGAAAAATTGAGGAAATAATTTTTTAGAAATGACTCATGAATATAAACCATGTATCTTCTATCTTATTTTACAACTTGAAAGACAAATATTTCCTGTTTTAAACACTTGTGGGATGATAATTGTTAATGGCAAGAATAAAAATGTATATTTCATATGCTACAAGTTATATATACATATATACATGTACACATAACTACATATGTAGAAATTGAAACATATGTATAGTTTATGTTATTCTTTCATTGCAATAGTTGTTGAACACGCTAAATAAAAAACTATGATTATAGTAGCAAGCTAATTACGGAACGAATGAAATATAAACTAGTATGATGATGCTTCAATATAATTATTATGCTAATTTATATTTCAATATTTAAAAGAGTACACTAAAACAGTTTGTTATTAGTTGAGATAATTTATTATTAAATGATTCCTGTAATGACTTTTTATTAAAAATCTTTTCTGTGAAAATTACAATTTTATATTTTATGCTATACGTGCACGTGTTCGGTGTTATGTTTGTTTCTATAGAATATCCCATTTTCATAATAAAATAGTAATAAAAGAGAAATTATTTAAAGAGAAATGTAAGGAAATAAATGAGAAAACAAACAAATATTGAACACGAAAATATAATATTGAAAAAATACGCTAAGTATTAAGATCGAAAATTTGGCGTTTATATTAAACTAATTGTTAGACTCGCTTAATAAGTTTGTTAAACATTTGTTGCAAATAATCGTAAAAGAATAAGGCTCGTGAATAAAGCTATGTAAGCCATGTTTTTGTTACGTTTATCGTTAATTAATTCTGACTAATGAATATTATATAATCTCCGATTATTTACATTTGCAATGTAACAAATGACGGTAATGGAGCATACTTGTTTTGCAATACTAAACCACATAACATTGTCATCGGTAATGTTAACGTCCATAAAAATGTAATTATTTATTTGTAACAACGTGAATGTCCGCACACGTTCCATGCCAAAAAATTAATGTAAAAATATTTTTCATTCGCCGATTTTGTAAGTATTATGGAAAATTTGGGTCCATGTATGTATCAGTGTTGTTTTATAGTAAATAACAAATATATTCAATATAGGTAATTTAATTCACTTAAGCACCAAAATTAAAATTTCCTGTACAATAATTGAAAATTATAGCTTCATGATGAAGTATACATAAATAAACTAACTTGAATCTTTTTAATCATTACACAAAAGAAAATCTCAACTTGTATGAAATTAATTCAAGATACTGAACAAAAACTAGCGGGAATTTTATAGTGAACACATAAATATCTTTAAATACAACATATTGCAGCAAATAGCTTTGTTATATTAAAGGAACAAAAATTATAAATTAAATTATTAATTTCAATAAATTATAATTTAAATTATAATTTAAATAAATTAATACGCAAATACTACTGTCAATTAAAATTATACTCAGAAGGAGAGTGCAAGTCCTTCGGGTCACGGATTTAGTTGAAACTTTGCTGGTATGTAGATATCGTCACGTAGTTTAAGAAAATATATCATTATAGCAGCAACTACTCAATAGTTTTTGAGATATTTGCGATTAAAATTTTATTACTTACTTAATTATAGATTTATTTTCAACAAATTTTAAATCAAGTTATGGTTTAACGACAGTCGAGATCTATGATGAAGGTCCGAGATTCGATTCCCGTATATAGTTGGTAGTTTTTTCAATCTATTTTTTATTTTGTATTTACTTTTTGCCTATGAAAACATTGTAAATATACAATTATAAATACAATTTCTTAATAAAAAAATTTATTTTTTACGCCTTCTTACGCTAGTATATATTTATTACGTCCGAATTAATTTATTAAGATGTATTACAAGCGCATAAGCAGGAAAGGTCTCTGGTTTGAATAAAAATACTATCGCCAGCGATCAGCGCCATCTATGATTTGGGCTCAAAAATCAAGAAAGTAATAGGAATATAGAATAGGCGAGGAGGTCGACGAAGATGACATCACGTGACAGAAAAGGACAGAGTGGGGATAGAAAAGGATAGAAGGCCTCCGACAGAGAAAAATTAATTAATTACTCAATTTCCGTAACTAATTTATGAACTTTCATAATTTTTTTGCAAAGCCGGAACTTCAGGCTATATTCTTATATAATTTTCGTAAAGAATTTAACTCTAAATTGTTAGTTATTAATTTTTGTTTGATGGCATCTATGATACCGTAACGACGACCATTACGATCTTCCGTGAAAATATTTAATACTAAACGAAACTAGAAGGAAAATGTGATCAAAAGTTATATGAGAAGATTCGCAAGAACATTGTTTTTATAATGAGTGCATAAAGTTTCATAAATTAATTGCCTAAAGGATAGTAATTAATGAAAAACTATAACTATGTCCGGCAAAAATTCAACCACTTCGTAGAATAATAATTAATAATTAATTAATTAGGGACAAATTAATATCAAAAGTTATATTAGAAAATTCGCCAAGGCTGCGCCTTTACGATAAAATTATAAAAGTTCAGAAATTAATCGCAGAAATTGAGTAACTTGTTAATTTTCTAATACTGAATGAAAATTCAAACGACAATAAAGGTTCAAGGTTCCAGTCCAAACTCATAGATGGCGCTAATCGAAGACGCTTGAATTTGAATCGGTTACTAACTTTGGTTACATGCTCCCGATACATGCTGTTATTGGACGGTAGTTGTGTAATGGGTATCTTTGACTGTAGACGACGAATTAATCTATAACTGGAAAGAATGACACGAGATTGTGATAGCGATGAAAACAAAAG